TGGCAGTCTAAAAATGCTCTATGAGTACAATGGCTGAAATATTGAGTATAACAACCAAAATGTGTATCCTAGCCCAAATAGAAAAACTACACTATTTACATTGTTCAGACTCTTATCCTTGTCTTTATTGCCGTATTTACGACATTTCAGTCGTTTTATGCTCCAGCCTTATTCAGGTGATATTTGTTGGAATTTTGTGCTGAACCCTTTTAGTCCATGAGTTAGATTGTTCTAATTTTACATGCCACACCTTTGGATATCTCGGTTTTAGTTAATTCCTCATCCGAAACATTGTGAATATGGCAATGAAGATGAGGACAACAACATGAACAATGTAAATAGTGTGAATAGTTACAATAACTCATCTCAGAAATATAGACAAATAGAAAGACCTTTAATGATATCTTTTTAAAAGAAAAAAAAAATTCCATCCCAAATTAACTGATATCTTGTGAGAAACATATTTCTTATTCTGGTGGTGAATCTTTAAATCATAACACATGTGATGAAGGCAATGAAGCAGTGACTGATGAAATATTTTGCCAATATGTTATACAAACATATTCTGGTCATGTGAGGTTGAAAAATTGTTGTTAAATAAGTTAATGGAAAATTTAATTTTTATTTATTTATTTTTTTTAACAAAAGTGAATTTTATAACACACACACATATGTTAATTTCATAATTGGTGATTTCTTTTTTATTTTATTATATTTTTTTTTTTTTCTTTCAGGTAAGTACAATTTGTTGGTGCTTCACAGAGGAGAGGTTGCCTCTTGGAATGGAGAATTATGTATGTTTATACAGAGACATACAGGTGTCTAGCTGCTGATGGTTGGCAAATTTTGCATTGAAGCAAGTAGTATTACATTTCACATTTGTAGATAAAGAACATTTTAATATTTTGATTGTATAGATGAATTTTTTGGATTGCCAAAATGCAAATTTGAAAATAAAAGTGGATTCTTACAAGAATCTTGGCCATCTTTAGAAATCAAATATTACTATTCATTATAATGCATAGTTAATGCATAAGAACTATATTGCTTTTTTTATGCTTGTGTTTTTTTGTTTGTTTTTTTAATGTTTCACTAGTCACATTATAATGTGCATAATTATTTGATGCTTCAAATATGTCTGTAATATACAGTGTAAAAAAAAAAAAACCAAAAAAACTGGTAACATTTTACTTTTTAGAAAATTAGCTTTATTAAAATAAGACTGAATTTTTTTTTTTTTTAATGTTTAAAGTTAGTTTTCAGTTTCACAGATGTTTTAAATTTTCTTTAAAGAACTTTTGATATTGATTCTTTATCCACTAGGCATTCAATTGTTGATGTCACTTAAATTAAAAAGTGTTACGATAGGAAAAATTTATTAATGAATTAATAAGTTTTTGTAATTCATTCTTGGTGGTTTTACTCATGCGCTAATTAATTGTTGTCAGTTTGCTCATGTAATAATTAATTGTTGGGAGTTTTGTTTATACAATAATTGTGGATTTTGCTTATACAATAATTAATTCTTGGGTGTTTTACTTCAATGAATTAGAAATGTATCGACCTATTTTGAAAACTAGTTCTTTATCTTTTGATGCAATCTGGCAACCAACTGCAAAGAACCTTGTGCATCTGGATACTGTTGAGTCAACAATGAAATTCCCTTAACTGTTGCTTTCACAATGATTGAGTAAATTTTTGTGCTTAGATTTTAGGTGAAGTGTTGCATTCAGGTCTGAACTGTAGAGGATTTTGTTAATCCCTACTCTGTTCAAATTTAACTTTTTGCATCTTCTGGCTTTTGCCTAAACTAAAAATGTCATGAATGAAATTAAAAATAAAGCAACTGAATGTGATTCTCAAAGAGGATTTTGCACTATTAAGTGTGGGATCCCAAGGAGAGTACTTCGAAAAGGACTAAGATTCTATTGCCCTAGGTAATCTATTTTTATTTATTAAATTGCTGAATATATTTTACATATAAGTTCTAAAGAATCAGAAAATATTGAAAGTTTTATTTTAATCTATTAAGTAATAAATTATGAACTTTGTCCATATATTAACTTGTTAGGTTAATGTTTACACATTTTTTCCTTCATATTTCCTCTTATTGTTGTTGGATTAGCCAGATTGAACACCATTGTTGTGTTTTTAGTTATCAGCTTCTTAGTAATTCAAGTGAACTAAGTGAAATGAAGGGCTGTCAATGAAGAATGCATGTTGTGAATGAGATTTTCTATGCAAGACAAATACATTCTGTATAAAATTATCTAAATCAAAACTGAAGATTAATACTAGGACAAATAGTAGGGAAACGTGCTGATGACAAGCTTGACTCTGGTTTGGTCTCACGTTCTGTCTTTGTAGAGCAAGTCGCCATGGTTAAATGTAAATAAATGGCAGAACTTCCCAGCAAACAGAATTGACAAAGTTTGTAATAAACAATAACAAGAAAAAAAGAACAGAGCAAAAAATAATATAAAGCAAGCAAACAAAATATGCTTTGCAAATTAACAGTAATAAGACAAAGTAATTGTAATATGGCAAAAAGTTCACAAACTAAGAATTTGTGTTGACACATGAGCAAATTTGGCTATGTGAATGTAGCATTCTGATTCGATTGTTTATCTTACTAAAAAGTAAGTTTCAATAGCTTTAAACTGTTGATACATTTATAATTTCAGGGTTTTTATTTTTTTTGTTACAATAATAATAATAATAATGATGATGATGATGATCCAGTAATAATAATAATGTTAACAATAATATAAATATTTTAAATAGTAATAATTATCTTAAATATTGATTAAGAAAGCAATAATGAAATTAATGAAAATTAATAAGAATAATTTTATATTAAACAAACCAACACTTGCCGACTCACAATATAATTTTTTGTTCTCAAAAATACCTTGTATCCAACAAATAGTAAGCTTCACCATGACACAGGGTCTTCATCTCCACGAAAAGGGGGATGGAATAGTTAGCTGTTATCTATAACTTTCTTTTTGGAATAACAGCAAAAATATCTAAATATTCTACATATATATATATGAAGAAATGTAGTCTTAAGGTGTTATATTTATGGGATAAAGTGCTCAATATCAGAGATAGAGCATGTGTAAATATAAAAATGAACATCGAAGTCAACACTTAGAGGCAACAGTTGCCTCTAAGTGTTGACTTCAATGTTTACTTATATATATTGGGCATTTTTCCATTGGCCAGTTGTCCCTAACAGCATTTTTCTGTTGGGGAAATTTTCCTTATTGGGCTCTTGTCCTGGAACCACTGGAGATAGTCTAAAAAAAAAAAAAAAAAAAAAACCCATAAATGTGAGCATTTTCTGTATGAGGAATCCAGGCAATCATTACTTGATATTTAAAAAAAATCTAAGATTAAAAATATCTTTTAGCATTGAACACATTTTACTTACATATTCTAATTAAATAGGTGAGAAATTAGAAAAAAAACATGGTGCCTTCATAAACTTGGATGAGTATACAAATCATTAATTGACCTCTTTAGTACATGGAATATTTGGATCCTGTTCAGTTGTATCTAAAGTAAATAAAATATGGATTGCTAATGATAGTATGTTTTTAATTAATGATTTCAGTCTGAATTGACCAAAGTCATTGTCCAAGATAACATCAATATTTCACATCTAAATTGCTTTGGTTCAAGAAACTGAATAACTTGATCCGATTTTGTAGGTTGGTGCTATTGTATCTTAGGTTTAGAACTCTCATTTATTATCTTTCATTGGGGTAGGCTTGTGTATAATTTCAATGAATTGTTATTTAGGATTTTATAAGAATCAGGCAAAGCAGTTAAAGACATTTCGGTTTAAAATTCATTTTTCTTTTGTGTTCATGACTATCAAGTATAGCATTTTAAATATAATCTCAAATCCTGCTAGCTAAATTCTCTTACTTAGCTATACTTGCAGCAAACATCATTGACATTGATATAGTTGTATTTGCCACTAGTGCCAGAGGTCAGTTTAAGCTGAAGTAAAAGCCAGGATTTATAATGCTCTTTTATCTAGACAGGCAGGCTCTTCTCAATTGAAAGACTCAAGTCTTATTTTTCATTTGTCCCCCTCCTATCTGTTCTCTTACTAAGCTTAGTAAATATTAAAAAAAATAGTTTAGAAATTAAATGTTTTTCTTTTATTTCAATTTTATATCATTTTATAAAAAAAAAGAAGTTTTTTAATAAGCTGAAACACTTCTTATCAATCAGTCATTACATATCAACTTGCTTGACTTGTGCTTAGTGAATAAATACAGATATTGTTCATGAAAGGTTTTAGAGAAATGATTTCTAGTCTGCAACAAAAAATAGTTTATCTGCATTAGCTTCTTAATTATATGCATAATAGTTCTATTCTACCAGTAATGTTTGTATTAATTCCATGGCAGTCCCTTTTTTCCTGGGTTTTCAATGCATAACATAAGATTAAGTGCAAAAATTTGTAGAAACAAATCTATTGATCTTCAATTATGAAATTGTTTATTATTCCCTTTCACCCAGGATATTTAGCTTAAGTGATTTTCTGCATGAAAAGAATTGAACGGTGAATTCAGTATAGACAATATGGAGTCATATTATTTTGCTTTTTTTTTTTCTTCTTTTTACTTTACTACTAGAGTTGGCTTTGGCAATCATTAATGACTGAAAGTTTTGATGGATTTCTTTCCTAAATCCTACTCTTCATATAATAGGCTACATAAAAAGCTCCCGTTTAAAGTCTTTAAAATAAGAGGCTATAATTGTCTGTTTACTTAACTTCCTAATAATTAATAATATATTCTAAGTGACATTTAAGTATAGATGTATTGAACTTTATCTATTTGATGCTCTGAAAAAATTTTGTAATTTTTTTAAGTGGCTAATAAGCTAAATTCAATGTTAAAACTTCTAAAAATATTATTTAACATTGAGATATCATAATTGAGTTTTTTAGACAGGCATCTTGTATCAAGATTTGTTTAGGGCCACATCATATTGAAACACTGGTTCCCATATGATCACTGAAGTTAAGCAAATGTTGAGCTTGGTCAGTACCTAGATGGGTGACTGATTGGGGATACCAGTTGGTGTAACCTTGGATATGTGGGTAGTGTGATGGGTAATGACTTGGAATTGTTAGTTGGAGAGCCAAGTTCCAATTCCCATTTGCTTTGTTATATTCACTTAGGTGCAAATACCTTTTGGGAAAGTTATGAATCCACTTCTCTCCCCAGTTATGGGTTAATTAGTAAAACTTGTATCACTAAACCATTATCCAAAAAATAAAATATTCTTACAATGTAAAAAAAAAAAAAAATATATTTTTTGACTTTAAATAATCTGAAAATTTATGCTGTAGAAAACAAATCAATGTATGAATTTGTTATTATTAATCTTTTAACTGGCATTATAAACAAGATTACAAAATAAACAATATTAATTCTCTAATAACAATTATTGAAAATAGCAGAATCATTTGAAGTTATTTTTGCTATTAAATTCAGTTTTAGTTAAATTATTTTTATATCCATATTTTGTGATATTAGTTATGTCAAACAAAGATGCTTGCTAACATTGTGTTAGATGTGTGGGTGGTGCAATGGATAGCGGCTTAAAATTAGAAATTGGATAGCCAAGTCCAAATTCCAGTCAAGTTTGTTACTTTCACTTATGTGCAACTCTGGTGAAAATTATAACTCTATCTCTTTTTTCCTTCAGCTATGGGTTAAATAGTAGAACTTTTCCATTCTCCCCAAAAAATTCACTCACAAAAAAAACAAAAAAGTTACATTCTCAAAAAACATTTGGGCTTTATATACCACAAAGAACAAAAACAAAACAAAAAAACTATCAATAACAATATTGTTATTCAAAGGAGCACAACTACTTGTCAATGAATAGGAATTAAAAACAAATTGAAATATGGAATATTTTTTATGGATCTACAGTTTTATCTGGCTGTGATTTCCTCCCCATTTTTAAAATATTTTTTAATAGAACAAATAAAAAACCAAGATTGAAATGATTAAACAATCTTGAGGTTATCTGACTCATTCACTGCATCCAAACCTTTTCTAAAATTGGACTTAGTCCCAGACAAAGTGAAGTTGAAAAACCTTCCAAGTTGATGTTTCCAAATTTCATATTTTCACATTTGCCTGAATCATTTGCTGGCATTTGTGTCAAAATCTAAGTCATTGTTGGAATTAGTGGTTACCAGCAATAAAACCTAAATAAATGGATTAGTAAGAGCTCAAGTGGTAGGCGTTACACATACAAATCCTGATAACGTAATTTGAAATGCCAAGAGTTTTTACTTATTTTTATTTTGTTATTTTTGTTGGAGGCAATGCAAAAATATCTGCAAAAGCAAGAAAGGGTCAATGAAATAGAATAAAAATGTTAATATCAAGTTACTTTTAGCTTTCTTAATTAGGTATTTTATAACTAACTTGTGGAAGCTTATTTCTTATCTATTAAAACTATTCATTAATTTAAGAATAGAGGTCAGTGTATTTGCAGAGTGTACTTTTTTTTCTTTTCTTATGATGCTGTTTAAAGACTAATGTTTGATCAAAATGTCTTGTATAAGCTTCCTTTTTATATATATATATATATATATATATAGATAATATTAGTGGAAGGTCTGATGATTTGGATCGTATTTACGATTCCAATGGAATAAATTATGACCATGGAATATTAGTGTTTAAGCCTTTTTATTATATATATATATAAATATTTAAGAAATAAGACTTGAAAAAAGTGAATATTTATATAATTCTAAAAACAAATCTTGAAAGGTTTGAAGCATGAAGAGAAATTTACTGGATTTGTCTTTAAGTTTTAATTTACATCTGTGTACTTGTAAAATATTAATTCACTCTTTGAGAAATGTGAATTTTTTTTTTTTTTTTTTTTTTTTTTAAACTCCTGGGTTTTATGGTTGAATAAACAATGATTCCTTTTGATTTAGCTGGTTGGTATCATGATGGTCAAATTAATATGAAGGACATATGACAAAATATATATCTTTTGTGTTTTTAGAAATAAAGTATAGATAGTTGGATAGAATTTTTTTTCTTAAATTTGGCACATGGTTGCCTTGATATGACATTTGTAAATGATCAAATGTAAAAATTATTTTTGAGCATTGTATATTTTCAGTAATTACTCATTTATTTGGATCAGTTTTTTTTTTTTTTTTTTTTTTTTTTTTTTTAAAATCCCAACTGCATTAAGCCACTATATTTTTTAATAAATCTGGTATATATTACTGACAGTTATCATAGTCTATAAGAATAAGGTAAAGTAAAAATTACTGATCAATAATGTTATTTAAGTTTGGAATTTTCTTCTAGTATCCTGTTAAGTCTTGAATGGATAATAAGCCTTCAATATTTTACAGAATTGTATTTTCAATAATTATCCTTTTTCCCAGTTAAAGAAAAAAATCTTTGTTTTTGTAGAGATTAGAATAGACAGTTTTTAAGGTAATTTTGCCTTCTTTCCAATACTTTTTTTTTTTTTTATTCTCCGATCTGATAGTCTGCATGTTTCTCTGATCTTGCTGTTAATTTCTGCACCAGGCTTTTGCTTTGTTAGCATAGTTATATGAGGAACATGTATTATTTGATTATTTGATATTAGTGAGTAAAACAATACAAAAAGAACTCTTGTCAGCTTAGCATGATTGCTTCTTTTATGAAAATGATCCAATAGGACACAATTGTATTGCTATTTAGTATGAGAGGTAAAGGAAGAAGACTTTCAGCTTCAAGTAAATTGATAAGTTAAAAACAATTAGAAAAGTTAAATAAAATTCAAACATGTAAATTTATTTCTATTCAGAACATGGAAATACCTTTGAATTCATTCTAAGTTCAAAATTATCATTCTAAATGAGTAATCAACCTTTGATTAGATAATTGAATTTTGGTTATTATTGTGAATGTACCTTAAAATTAATTACTTACATCCCCAAATTTTTACCCTAAATCTTCATGGCTTATGGCCACATCATGTTGAAACACTGGTTCCCATGAGATCACCGAAGTTAAACAACATCGAGCCAGGACAGTACCTAGATGGGTGACTGCTTGGGAATACCAGGTACTGTAAGCTAGGATGCGCGGGTGGTATAACGGATAATGGCTTGCAATTGTTAATTGGAGAGCCAACTTCTAATTCCCATTGGGTTTGTTATGCTCACTTACATGCAAATACTCTTGGTAAAGATATGGATCCACCTCTTCTCCCCTCCCCAGCTATGCGCTAATTAGTAAAATGTGTATCATGATAACATTATTATCCCCAAAAATTCTTACAATCTAAAAATATTTTCTGGCTTTAAATAACCTGCAAAAGCCATAGAAAATGAATTAACCAACCAACATCTTCACCTTTTCTTTTGGGGTAAGAATTTTGAGTAGGTAAAAGAAAATTAGTTCTGATCATGTTTTTTGTATTACTAATGTAATGGAAAAAAATATAATTTTCTTATTTTAAATCTCAGCTATTATCTTTTCTTTTTTTTTTTTTTAATTTGATTAGTGTAGAGTTAACTGGTAGGTAATGCTTCTGCATTCTTTCTGCCTAGAACAAGTGCTCATAATTACAAATACCAATTGGCTAATGCTTTTTATAAAATGTTATGAAGACGTATTTTACTCTGTTAGTAACTTCAGCTCTTTTCTTAATTTTTCTGTTTTTCTCAAATTTATTTTAGATTATTCTTCAGTCTTGGATATTTTAAGTTGCCATGCATGGCAGATAATAAAAACTTGAAATTCTTGATTATAGTGAAAAGAGAATTGGCAAGGAGATCCACCCTCATGTAGACCAATTAACCTTTTTTTTTTTTTCATATCAATAAAGAGAAAACATTTTTATTTTTTATTAGTTCTCATTAAATTAGTCCAAAATCTCTTTAGTAATTTATCTGCAATTAAATTTTTGGAAAATCAATGGCAAATTAAAAATGTTTGAAGCATTAATAATATTTTGACTGTAAAAATGAATATAAAAATAAAACTCTACTAAGGTTGTTAAGAAGCTTATTTTCAAGACTGTGTAGCTTAAGTAGCTATATTATGAATTAAATTTATTCGATGGGATATTTTCAAATAATGTGGAACAGATGTAATTAAATTTTGTTTTAATTAAATTAGAGCTATGCAATTTATGAATTTTATTTTTCTTAAAGAATTGCATTTTAATTTTGCAACACCTTTGCTGTTTTGAAATTATTAGCTTAGAATTTTTTTAATGTAAAAATTCTATCTATTAATGATTGTAATAATTTTAGAAGCCTAGTAGAGAATATTTAGCTCATGGTTAATTAAAAATTATCACAAAATAAGTTAATTTCAGGAAAACTTACATGAAGTTTTGGAGATTTTAAACCTAAAATAAAAATGGTCTATCAAAGTGCATATGGATTATCTTGTGAACCAAACTGTGTTTTTTTTCTTTCTCTCTCTCTTCCTTTTTTTTCTCTCTCTCTTCCTTTTTTTTTCTCTCTCTCTTCCTTTTTTTTTCTCTCTCTCTTCCTTTTTTTTTCTCTCTCTCTTCCTTTTTTTTTCTCTCTCTCTTCCTTTTTTTTTCTCTTTTTTTTTCTCTCTCTCTTCTTTTTTTTTCTCTCTTTTTTTTTCTCTCTCTCTTCCTTTTTTCTCTCTTTTCCTTTTTTCTCTTTTTTTTTTTCTCTCTCTCTTCCTTTTTTTTTCTCTCTCTCTTCCTTTTTTTTCTCTCTCTCTTCCTTTTTTTTAATAAAATTCTTTCTCACCAGAAAAGTCCGATATGTAAACATGAGTAAATTGCTTATTTATCAGTTTGCTTGCTATAAAATAAAAATTCTCTTTGTATATCAGCAAAAGAAAAGTCTGATATACAGATGGGCGATTTACCCATTTATACCTAACGGACTTTTCTGATGAGATTCAAATGTGTATTTGTATGGTTTTAAGGAATTATATAATTCTGTAGATTTGTAATATAACTGGGTATTTTCTTTTGAATAGTAATTACAGGGCTCACTGGGAAATTTACATAACATTCCAATTGAAAAGATCATGTACTCTTGTCAGAATACAATTCTAGTTCCTTTGTGGTTATTTTTCAGGCTATGTGGTTACTTGGCATTGCTCGTCTTCTCTCCAAGTTACCTGCAATTATTGGTTGTACATGGCTACATGATACTGGAAGCAGATAGTCACCTCTGACTTTAGATAGTTAGGTTCATGCCTTTATCAAGAGCATTAAAGTAAACACAAATGACTGCAGTTGGAATATAAACTCTTTATTTTCTTTTACTGTTAACCTTTAGACCAGCTATGCACCTCTATTTACATATTGACTAATATGTCTCCTCGCAAAAATAGTCTTTTAATATAAATAATGATGCTGAAGATACCATGAACCAAACATGTGAGTAACGATGAAGTTTTGGTGAAAATGGAAACATAAAGGAAATTAATACTTATCAGGAAGAGACAGTTGAGGTTTCTGGGGCACATAATGAGGAAGGAGGGCTTGGAAAATCTGATGCTTACAAGACAGAGGGACAGCAGTAAACAATGCATACCGTACTTAGTGAACTTGAGTAAATGGATGGTGAAACAGGGTTTAGGAGAAATAACAGACAGAGTATATTAAGAGCTACAAGGGACAGGAAGTTGTGGAGAACCATGATCGCCTACATCATGTGGGGACAGACTGAAGTGAATAAAAAAAAAAAAAATTTCAAATTTTGTTTTTTCTTCCTTTTAAAAGAAAAGTGAGTAAGCAGTCATTGATAGAAACTTAAGATTATTGAAACCCTTCCAATTCATTCTCTGATTGGTTAATTCTGTTTGTATTAAACTTGCATATGCATGAAGTTGAAATATCCTATAATTTTTTTTTGAATCATTAGTTTATTGAATGTTTTCTATACAGCAAACATCTGGTGTGTTTGTATTGATTAAGGAAGGATTCATGCCCTGCTTGCTTTGTTTAGGTTTAAAATGCCCTTGTGAACTTCACTTTTAAATGACAAACTTTAAGAGATAGTTGTGCTGTGTTAATAATTTTTTTTTCTTTTGATTATTCGCTAAGATTTTTTGGTTGTCAATAGTTTCTTTAATAGCATTATTGATATTGTGACGTAAGTATATTTATACTGATTAAAAGGAACCTGATAGGTTAGTTCTGCTTTTAAAGATGTTCTATAGTAAGTATGTGGGTATGTAGCAGTGGTTAGAATATTAGAATTCTGATTATGAAACCTAGGTTCAAATCTCACCAGGGTTGATTTGCCAAAGAAGTGGCATCTTGATAATATTGACCTAGTAAGATAATCCCAGTGTGTGGCAGTATTGATAAGTGCTCAAAAAAACATTCTATGAGTTGGCCCAAACCTTTAAAAGTGAAATTGTGAAATTGGGTGGATGAAACTGTTCAGTAGCTGTTGAAGGTTGTTCTAGCACAAAGGTCATTGTGATAAAGGGTTTTAGTGTACTGGCCTTGTTCAAACTGTTAATCACACCAGATAATGTGCTCTCTTCCAGAAAGTAAGATCTGCTAGTATAGTTGCAGTACAAAACACAGGTTTGCTATGTGTATTGAAGAAAACTAAATATACCTGAGCAGGCGTCTGCAACAGGGATTAGACTAATATGAGTGGGCAACTATACCTGAGAGTCAATGGTTATCCTGACAAGGTGATGTTAAAAATATGGAAAAAAAACGATCTGAAATATAAGATGAAATGCATCTGAAAGAAAATGAAACCATAATTTTCTTAGTCATTTTGATAATTGATTCTTCTTTCATTTATTAAAAAAAAAAAAATAAAAATGTTGTTAATGTACAAAGCAAGGCTTTTGTGTTATGTACATAAGTATGATATTTGATGGCAAATAAGATACCCCCCACCATTTTCTCTCCAAAAGATATATCCTGAGTTTTATATAAAGATTGAGATATGATAGACTATGGTTTACCCAAATGGCATAAACTACTTGTATTTGTATCTGTAATTCTTGAATCTGTAAACTCTCCAGGGAGCATAAGGCTACACTATCATGTTGGATTTCAATAGCAAGTAAACTTTCTAGCACCATGTTTTATAGGTCTGGATTAGTTGTCACCTAAGCTGAGAGAGCCTTCACCAAGCTTCCTATATTACCTATAGCTGAAGTAGCAAATGAGAAAAGCTGAACTCTTTTCTTTCCCAAGGCCATTAGTGCAAAATGGATGCAATGATTTGGCCAAAATTTAACCTCTGCTTTCTGATTTCATTATTCATGATAGTTATTCTACTCACATTTAATGCTTTGAAAATCAAACCAGTGATGTTCCATCATCACCAAGCAGACCCTGAATTTTCACCTGTCATGATGAACAGCTGTTCTCTCGGGGACATCCTGTGCCTTGAGCACCTATGGAGACTTAATCTCAACCCAGACTTCAAGTACAACTTGTATATATGATCCATTGCTAAAGATGCTGGATAAAAAGGTTGGTTTTCTGTAGTAATCTGTTAAGTACCTGACTCCTCCTGTTATCCTCTGTCTTTACAAAAGAAAAAAAAAAAGGAGTACTGCTGCCATATATGGGCAGAAACTGCCCAATCTTCACTCTCAATGGTTCAAAAGTGTCTTGGTGAATTATTTTCCACCCTAAAGCCTTTTTCTCACAGATGAAATGTTACAAGCCTCTTGATAATCTATTGCTATTTCCATGGAAATTGTTAAGACGGATTACATTGCTTAGCTCCACCAATTCTAACCTTCACAGCTAAGACCCACCATGCCATACACAGTATAGTGAAACATCCTCAGTCCTTTCATATTCCATTGGTGAGATGTAAATTTCATCCAAACAGTTCCATGAACCACTACTTTGTGGAACTGACTCTCAAGAGGATGCTTCCCTAATCACTACAGTCTTAACATGTTTAAGTCTAGAGTTAACCATTATCTTCTTCACATATCCTCATAAACAGTACCTCTTACTCTGTAACCCTCTATCTTGAGTGGCTCTTGAACCTTGTACAGGGTGAACATTATTGTAAAAGGTAAAAAACCTAAGTCTGATAAAAGAAATGTTTATCTAAATTTTGAGCAACAACTTTTTTTTATT